CATCTTCCTCCAGGCTCCTTGTACCCCTGCATAGAGTCCCTTCAGCTGTCCCATGGCCATATCATGTGTTCTCTTGTGGATATTAGCCTGTGGATATGAGCTCAGTTCTAGCGGTACTTAGTCTTTACCTGGTATTCTCTCTTGGCATGCCAATGACTTCCTTAACAGGAGAAAGAATCTGAGGTAGGACAAGTCATGTAACTGTCTCTTGAAGCAGAAGACCTATAATCCCAAAGTCTAGATAACTAGTCTTTTGTAACACGAATATGTTATACTAAGCAAAACTGTAATGTGAAAAATAATAGTTTTGCTTACTTCCAAAAAATGGAGAGATCTTGAATGGAAAAATAAGCGGGACTGGTCTGGTGAATTTTCCTGCACCCTGATCTTCTCTGTAGCTGTTACTCCTGTGTTGGAAAAGATTGCTTCAGGATCTGTTTTCTTCCGATACCATTTGGGTCCCATCACTACTACCCTTCCACAGTAGCTCCCTTATAGGTTTGGACAGAGAAGTTGTGTTGTAGGAAGATCTCAGAGGCCCAAGTCACAGATAAGGCTAAATGTAAACCTCCAGAACAATGACATGAAAGGAGATGACTTCTTGTCAAAGCCAGCAGACATTTACCTCACCATAAACCACTCTAGAGCCAAGTCAAATGCTTGCAGTCCTTGCAGACTGACATAAGGCCCTGAAACAAGAGATGTGATTTTTTTTCTTTCCCGATACCTGAAGACACACACAGTGCTATTTTCCTGACAGATACTCCAACTCCATTTAGTCTCTTCCTCTTCCTATCTGTCTTTCTCATCAGAAGTGGCCCTTAAACCTTGCATACACCAAGGAGACCATAGCAATTCCTGTGCATGGTCACTAACAGCAGAAGGCATCTCTGCAGATCAACATCCCACCAAGCTCCCTCCCTATCCAGATGCAGTCACGAAAACCAACTGCAGTTCCTACCACTCCGTAGCCTGCTTCCTACTGAATATTTGTTTCCCAAATGTATCATGTTCTTTGGTCTCTGAGACCCATGTTATTTTCTGGTAGGAATGGTCCTATTTCCTCACCGAGGAAATCCTTCTACGGGCCAGCTAGGTAGCTCAGCAGACTAATGCACCTGCTTAGGCAGATGCAGCAACGGGGGTTCAATCCCCAGCCTACCATACAGGCCCCATCTCCAGGGTGCACTGAGACAGCAACTGAGACTGAGAGTGATGGCTCACACATACCTGTAATCCCACCACCTGGGAAGCTGAAAACAGGAGGATCACTATGAGTCTAAGTCCTTCCACATCCACCTTGCCACAGCTTAACTATTACCTTTTCAGGGAAGCCTGCTTTAACCACAGTGCCCTACTTCTATAGGACACAGTTCTGGAAATGCCTGCTGATGCGGCATGTTTCCTTAAAAAGAGAGCAAGTTCTACGAGAGGAGGCATTTTGTATCTTCTCCACTATAGATTCTGTGATAGCACAGTGCCTAGCACTCTTCAAGACTTTTAGAAGTATGTCTTACAATGACACTAACAAACTAGAAGCTTCTTCATTCTCCTTATGTATGATTCTCTGCAGATTCACCCTTTAAGTCCCCTTCCAAAAGAATTCCTCCCATTGAGTCTTTTCTTATCTAGAAGTCTGACTAAAGCTGACTTCCCAGGAGTCTGAGCCTACATCCTTATAAGGTGGGGAGTCTTCCCAATGACCCTGGCTCCTTTTCCAGATTCCCCTTCCAAAGATGCTCTTACCTGAGATGAATCATATCAGAAGAGCCTGGGGCTCTGCAAATGCCTCAGAGACCTTATACTTAAACATTCTGCTCAGGAGCCTAGGGAATTCATTGGAGAGAAGCGAAAGGTTCAGGACCCGCTGAAGAAGGGTAATAGCTGGCCTGATCCCAGAGGGACGAGCACAGAATTCAAACATAAGCACAGCTATTCTCTCCATGTCCAGGATGGGCCAGAGGGAAGTAAGACAGACCTCTTGAGTCTCTCTTGGGTCCAAGCCCTGCTCTTGCTCCTTACCTCTGCTGCCTCTGGAGTTTGTAGCTATTTTGATGATAGCAAACAGAAATCAGAATGGCCTTCCTGAGGTAGAAATGATGTTCCCTTAGACCCAGAAGTAAGGGATTAGAGGTCATCCTGGCTATAGATCTCTAATAGCATTTTATCTCTACATATTTGGGGATGATGATAAACTCTTGAACTAAGACATCTGAGTGGCAACACCTCGAAGGGTGTTTATATCATGAGAGGATTTTTAAGGGGTACGCACAAACCCCCTACACTTTTAGAAACCCAACATTCACAAATTCCTCACTCTTCATGAAGGACAGAGGCCAAATGGAGGAAGCAGTCCCTCTCAGTTGGTGGGGCAGCATACTCTAGGAGATGTAGAAAGCCATAGCCTTGGAAACCTCTAAAGACTTCAGTCTGCAAATCTAGCCCCATTACACATTCACTGTGACCTCAAACTATTCCATCTGTACTTCTGTCAAATGTAAAATGGGAATAAAACCCATTTGTTTGTATAATTACAACTTAGATACTATGCATAGCCATCACTACTGTTGCTTCTACGTCTCAGGAGAGGTTAGCTCTCATATATGCCTTAGATACAAAAACTTTTCTCCTTCAGACTGGGAGGCAGTACGGTCAGAGAAGGTTTAAAGTAGTTAGAGTCATTGTAAGAAGGATTCATGTTCGCCTCCCTAGCTACCTGACTTTAGACTGTCTCAGACACACTGCTTGATAACTAACCCATTATCTTTTTTGTTGTGGTGCAATTTTGTTTTAGCCTGAGAGAATATCTTCTATGATTTTTACTCTTTTAACTTTAAAATATATTTCTTGGCTAGACTATGGCCTAATATGATTAATATTACTTGGTTTTTAAAATAATTTTATTGAGAAACAAATAGCAATGAGACAGTTTCAAAACCAATTAGGACAGTTTCAATAATTAATACATTGCATATTGTTGTCTTCTTAGTGGTTATTCATAGTACAAGATGCAGACATGATATCCTGTCCACAAACACTATTAGAACAAATCTTTCTATTCATTGAATTAAGGGAAAGTAGCTGTATAATCTATTCTATTTTGAATATGCAGATACAAAATGATCCTTCATTTGTATCCCTTTTTTGTTTAGTTTTGTCAGAGATGGGTATTCTTAATATTACTTGTGACCTTGAAGAATGTGTATTCTGCTAGTAGGTGGCCCATAAATGTCATTTAGATGCAGTTTTTTTTCTTTTTATGTATTTGGTACAGGGTCTCACTACACAGCTCGGACTCATAGGGATTGTCCTGCTTTCAGCCTCCCCAGTGCTGCAATTACAGGCATGTGCTACCATGCCTGGTCTCAGTGGCTGGTTCAGCTCACCCAGGGGCAGGGCTGGCACAGCATGTGGTACTGGGGATCGAATCCTGGTCCGCATGCTTGCCATCTTAATGGCCCTAGATGCAGTCTTAATTTTTAGTTCAATACAATTTTTTCTGAGGAGGTTCTTCCCTGTGGAATTAAACATTCTTCCCTTCAAAGTTAAAAGTTCTAGACCAGCAGAAGCTAAGTTTGAAGAAATAACAAACACTTTGCTCGTGTGTCACAAGTCTAGAAGTGGTGCTATTCTCACTACTTTGATTCATAGGCACATTAATACTACCTACAGAAAAAAAAAATAGCCCTATAAAGTGGACTCTGATTCAGATCTGTAGTCATCTGGAGAACTTCATTCCTGCCCAGCAAGGTCTTGCCACCTACACGGTACTGTAACAGTCCTCAAAATAGTATTCTACTGTTTTATCAACCCAGCTACTTCAGAGCATATGTTAAGAACACTGAATTCCATGGGCAAAATCCAGTTGTTGCATTTTTTTTCTCACTAGAAAGTGAGTTCTTAAACAATGCTTAAGAGCAGGGTGCATGGCACTTGGTAACAGTGTCCTAGCACAACTGGATTTGGTGGATCACATGGACCAGGTAGCAAAATAGTTTGCACAAGAGCCAGAGCCCATGGCAGATCAATCTCTTCTGGGCCACTTAAATCTAACAGATTTTGAATCACTTGGTAAGCGCTCTGGAATAGTACACCCAAATCAGGGACTTTTCCCTTAAATCCAAATAGGCCCATCGGGTGTT